TTTTTTTTGTTAGCACATGAATACTCGTACTATATTTTAATCACACATATAAATGCGAAGGTTGTTTTTGGATATATTTATTTGTTTTTACGGATGTGTATGATAAGAAATTAGTGATTTAAGGCATTTCAGGAACTAGGCAAAAATAGGGAAAAACAGAGCTTTAGGTTTTGTCTCGCCTCTACCCGCTATAGCGATTGACACGCCGTTATAGCAAGAAGATTTCCATTATAGGGGGATTGTTATAGCGGCCCGGTACCGCTATGGCGGCCTCGGCAAACTCAACCCAAAAAAGTTGAAATTATGCAACATTCCCTATTCCCATACAACTCCTCTAACACAACTTTTACTAATAAAATATTTTCCAAGATCATTCCCACACTTGTATGACTTTGGATCATGGCATTGAACATGACCTAGAGATCATACCCAGAATACATAATAGGAACTCACCCCATACGATTACAAAATTTAGGACTAAACTACACCCAATGTATGATCATTTAAACACATAGCAACTTATCATTCAGTTATCACACATAAGTAGGTTACAACTTTTCCTTGCCCACAATCTCACAGAAATTCAAACAATTCAATGCACATAAATTAATTAGGTTTATTATAATCTATTCGCATCAGGGATGACTACTAACTGACCATCCATACATTAAAGTGACATTAAAACAAAATATCAATTGAACCTACCGGTTCCAATCTTTCATTGATTGTGTCCCTTCAACCATGACCACGTCATCAGTTTACTTCATAGAGATATCCATTGGAATTCGGAGATGCCAATGGGACTCAACCTATACCATAAGTGAAGACTGCACAAAAGGAGTGAGTAAGTGGGACTGTCCAAGAATACCTCATACCTCCCTAAAGATTAAATATGGACGTCAACACACTAATCCTCGGTACACTATGAAACCGATAACCCAGGCTCTCATACCTAATTGTCACGACGCAACCCTCTAGGTCGTGCGGGCATCTACTGTAATAGGTAGATAGGAGAACTCTTACCACCTAATTTAAAAATAGTCAATGCTAAAATACAAAAAGATGAGGAATTTATTTAATACGTTGCAATAAACATGAAACCTCAGAGAATAAAAATCATCTTTCTTATAATTATTTGAAATTTCCTCTAAAGGAACTAGTGTAATCAGGTACAAGAGTGACTAAAAAGATACAATGTATAAAGAAAATACAAAACAATTCTCACCATAGGAAGGAGGAGTAAAAGTTGTTGAAGATCATCATCGTCTCCACCTATGAAACATCACTGAATCCTGCAACCAGACTATGTCTAGTGGCATAGCAAGAGTAGTATCTATACAAACAACACATAGTGGGAAGCATCTTCGTAGGCCCGAACCCACCACATAATCCGAGCACCAGACTCCTAATCTTACCACTCCTTACCTTACACACTCTCATTATACAACATGTGAAAGAATAGCCCCAACTTAGCAAACCAATATAAATAATTCCAACCACAACTATAAAATAGCCCGAACTTCCGAAATTCACAATCATCACTTACAACATTTAACATGTCCTCTCTATCAACACAAGAAACCACTCCAACATTTAAACATATCAACACGGTCCTTCTGAGACCAATACACACAACTACACATGTATAGGTGCCAACATGGCACCCGATCCAATAGTAATATATATATGACATTGAGTTATTCCATTTTGTAGCCTTCAAATTTCAAGACTTTCCTTAGAGAAGCCTTAACCTAAACCTACACCTTAAAGTGGAAGAAATCTTTTGCCACAAGAATCCAATTTTTTAAAAATATTTAATACTAACCAAAAATGAATATAATTTTTATGACAACAACTTATGCCATAAAATGGCCTTAATGAACAAGATCTCAGGGGAATCAACAACCCCACTAAATCAAAATACACACTACATGAAAAAAATCACAAAATAATAACAAAAATTCTTGTTATGTCATAATTGAAATAAACTCAAGCATTTAACGCGATATAGACTCCTGATACCAATTTTAGAACTGAACTTTTAGAGACGCAGACCATCGTCTTTTCTCAAGATCTATCATGTGAAACCATTAAGGACGTAATACTAGATACAAAAGCGTACCTGAATCCATAAACGCCATAGCATTTCTCCATCTATTGATTATGAGTATTCCAAATCAAGACGTGCGCCGTTCTGTCCTTTCCAATGAAGGGATGCGAGAAAGAAAACCCTACATGATTTGGGGATCACAAACCTTTATTTATAATAGGCATAAGTTTAGGTAAATCTAATTTAACCCATCATTAAACTAGAAATTACATCTGAATATCTATACGTAAGACCACATACTTTGTAAGGTGTCGTTTAGACCCATTAACTTTAAATCTTAACAGATCACTTTAACTTGGGTAAGACTTTTAACTATAGAAATCAACATACAATTATTCTTGGAAAAAAATACTTGGATTGGTACCTTTTAATAAATAATTATCGATTTTAGCGATACTTTTTATTTATTACCATTTATAGCAATACTATGTTAAATCTGCAATATGTATTAAAAGTGAATTATGTATGCAATATATATGTATTATAACTGTTTTTTAAAATATATTATGCTTTTTGATAAGAAATTGACACATTGAGTTATAAGTGTATTAAAATGTGTGATAAATCTATTATCCATCAATAAAACTTGTATTTTATGTGAATAATAAATTGTTCTTTGTAATATGTATTAAAACTGTATTATAAATGTATTAAAAGTGATTAAGTGAAAAAAAATATAATTGCTAGTAATGGTAAATATTTTCTTAATATAGTATTTTTATGTAAGTTTCCCTTTCTTCTTCATACAACTAGATAATGTTGCCCGTGCTATGCACGGGCCCAATAATATAAATAGTATATTTTGGGGCTAATAACCGAGTTTTTGAAGCTATTATTTGCGTGGATAAAGGAATAAGTGTTTTTATCACAAACCTGTACTTTCTTTGACGCTATTTAAGGCATAATAAGACTACCACATACAACATTTTTGAAATATTTTATGTTGTGAATTATCATGATTTATAGTATTTTTACGATAGATTCACTTCAAGAATCAGTGGAATTTTTTATAAATTAACCCTTTTAAAATGTCTTTCAGATATTTTAAGTTGTTAATTATTATTATTTATAATACTTTTTTGGTAATATTAAAATGATATGTGTTATTTTTTATGTCCCAATATATGTGAGCCTGATAGAATTCTGAGAGTCAACATATTTTATTAGATAGCTTTTAAATATTTTAAAGCTTTTTAAGTCATTCGTAAATGATATATGTTGCTTCATTGGTTGAGACTTTTCCATTTGTGAGATATATAAATATACATATATATATATAAATATACATATATATATAAATATACATATATATATATATATACATATTCTATATTATTTTAAAAGGGAGTTTATGCCCAAGTTCTACTATATAATAAATATAATATGTAATATTGAAGAAACTTCCTTTTAAAAAGTCCCACAAGAATATTATATATTATATTTGGGCCTAAACTCTCTTTTATAATATAGTAGAAATATAGTAGAATATATATGGAAGCCCATAAAAGTTCTAACAATTACAACTTTGCAAAGATCAAAAATTGAAAAACATAAGCATTTTTATGAGTTTGTGACCATATAATTTCATTATTTATAGAAAGAAATATATGTCTTTTTTCATTCATCCACCACCCTTTATTTGTCTTTATTTCATTCATAATTTCATGTGGCAAGAGTTTGTGCTAATTAAATGTGTGATTTAAGCTAAATTTAACGAAACAAAGTTTTTTTTAATTTTTTTTTTGATCAAAATGAACCTCAAAAATCAACTAGTACTTCATTTATATGCCTGGCTGATAGACCAATATTTGTTCCTTCGTAGTTCGTTCTATACACACAAGTGCAGAATGAAATGTATAAAAGAAATGCAGCCTTTGATACAAGTCCTAAAATTAATACTGTCTATCTTATATATATATATATATATATATATATATTAAAGTATCCGCAAGACAATAAAATAAAGGGAATTTTGTAATTTATGAAAGAGTAGGGATAGGAAGTAATTTGTTTATTATACTATGTGCTTTGTATAATTTTTACTATTCTTTACAACATTCTATAAATTTGCATAGAAAAATATATACATTGATCAATAAAATTATCACTCAAACATATAATTTCTTCACAAAAAACAGTGTTGGAAAAACAATCATAAGACAATTTTATATATTTGTTTCTTCAAGCATTGAGGATGGATTGTAATAATAATTGTGTTCTATACATTTTTTATTAATATTTCTTACAATTATATTGTCTAAGTCCCTTCCTTTTTCTTTTGTGTAATTAGCCCTTTATTTTATCGCTTTGTATTTTATGATAAATAGATTTGTGGGGTTGAAATTATTTTTGTCTTTTGATCGGATTTTGGTGATAATCTCTTGAATTATCTATCAAGAGTTTTCCTTTTTGTAATTCTGCACTTTAATAGAGAAGATGTGGGATTAAATTATGAATTAGAAATTCTTCATAGTAGTGTTTCATATGCTTTTAGATATGTTGTGTGAAGGATGTCGACTCAAAAATTGTATTCAGAAAGTTCTACTATGAAGTAAAGTCGTAAGTCTCACATTGGCTTTGTTGTTTATTTGATACAAATAATTAATAAATAAGAGTAAAACAAGATACATTAATAAATAAGATTACAATTCCAATGAGTGAAGAAAGTTTTTATCCATACTCTTCTCTTAAGGTCTCTGTAGCTTCTCATGTTAAAAAAATTATTTCATCGTGTTTGAATTGTGCAAACTAGGTATGTTAAGTTTCATTATGCTTCAAAGTGTAAAGTTGGATCATCATTTTACCTCAATGCTAAATTAATTATCTAATTAATTAAATAGTAATGAATATATTATTGTTTGAAATAAACGTGCAACGCACGTTCCTGGAAACGAGTATATATATATGCAACATAAATAGTTATTTACAGAACTTTCAAATGCAATGCATCTTTATAGAGGTGGACACCTTATTGGTCGCTCTTTACATCCTATGAGTTTAGCATAATATGTAACAATTACCATACTCTACTATGAGATAACGGTGACTTATGATAGAAATTACAAGCCAGTGTAACTATTAAGATCTATCTACCTCCTCTGGAAGTTCAGTGTCTTAATGCTGTAGGAATACACAAATGCATAAAAGACTGCAAAACTGACCAACACTGTGGCAACTAGTCCCATGAAGTTTGGATTATATCCAAAATGGTCTATGATGTAGTCCTTAATCTTAGGGTCAATAGACATTCCTGGAACTTTTATGGTATCTTCGACATCACCATACTGTGAGACAATGCACCCGTTCACAGTCCATGCCACCAGGCAAATCCAGTAATACCCAATCCACCACTTTGGAATTCTCTGAAATGTTAACAAGAAGAATTAGTATTGTGGTTAGGTTCACAATATTTTGAACTAGTGTGAAAGAGTAAACTTACTGGTCCGGGGATGAAGAAACCTGAGAAGAGATTGAAAAGTGAGAAGAAAGTGCAGCAAAGATCGAAGCTACATGGTGGTTTGGTGTGATAGCAACAGTCATCATTCCGTAGTACATAAAATATAGAAAGGAGAAGAAGGTCACCAAATAGAACCAGAAGAATTTAGTTGCTGTCAACTCAAATCCAACCATTGTGTACACTATAAGAGTGTAGTATGTAGTTTGGATAATAATGTAAGGTATTTTAGAAATGACCTGCAATCCGAATAAATGAATTTGTGAAATTCAATAAGGTAATAGAAGATAATTTATAAATAAAAGTTACATGTGCCATATCATATGGCAATGCTGAGTACATGCAACAGCTCTTTCTCGATAAAAGACGGTTTTTCCAACGGCTACAATTGCCTGACAGTTGAATAATTGTTGATTCCAACAAACAGAACAGCAGTGTACATTGCCCCAATGATTGACGTTAAATCACTGCTAGTTTCTCTGTACCGCAGAAACAATATAAAGATGTAAATTAGTTGCCTTTCTAACAGCCTCTCTAATTCCATGAGGTAGGGGTAAGGTCTGCGTACACTCTACCCTCTCCAGACCTCACTTGTGGGATTATGTTGTTGTTTTTTTTTCTGAAAGTTTCTATCTGTTAGCTATAAAGTGGAAGCAGACCTTTTACAGCCAACTTTCCGGAAAATTGTTCCAACCATGAGTGCTGCAGCCAAGTGAAAGAAGCTCACCATTCTTTCCATAAGCAGTATTTGAACTGTCCCCATGTTGACTGAGAGTACTATGTTCGTCTGCGTACAACCACATATATCGTGTTAGATATTGCATTTCTAAAAATGTGGCAAATACGTTTAGCTGTGTGCTCAATTTGACTTACTGATAAGAAGCTGATGAATTGTATTAAGCAAACTCAATTCCATGTGGTTGGATTGCATTTCTCTTTAATTTTAGGAACTGTTGGAATTGGTATTTTGTCTTTCACTCGTTCAAGGGACAAAAGGAGGTGGTTCTTTAGTGGTTTCATAGAGTACCTCAAAATATTCAATAATTTTTTGAGAATTAGTTGTCCTCCTCTTTTTATAAGAAGTAGCTGATCCACAACATAAAAGAGCATATAAGATAGAGAGGGGTTGTAATTCTAAGAGACATTTTCGTTCACAGGGTTTCACCTCATCAAATTCTTCAAAAATATCAATACTTTGTTTGTGAATTGTGCATACAACAGTTCTCGTAGTATCCACCGTTTTTGTAACAGTTCTCACAATAATAGCTGCTGCCCTTGCATCCAGACCATAAGTCAGTTCGTCCATGAAAATAATTGAAGGAATGCCCGCCTTTTTTTGTTATTCACTACAATCTCACTTGAACCTACTGCAACATGACTACTCCAATCTCCATCTACCCTCTTACTTTTCTGCTCCGGGGTGAGCAGCTTCCTCACCAGTAGGGGATTGAACGGGTGGTCCATCTCGTCTATCTGGTCAGTATCATTCTTGGGTACCCCAACTCATCTACAAAGAAGGGACACCAACTCAGGAAGGAACGAGCCCTTCTTGCTGCCTTGATAGAAATCCTTCCACTCTGACACTTTTTGTACCCCCCCCCCTCCACATTCAATTGAGTCCCTCTAATATGCATAGACGACTATTAGGCCCGGAGATAAGTTACATCAGTAAGGTTGCCTAATGACCGAATCCTCAGGCCCACCAGTGTCAGCCACCTCCATTCCTCTAGAGAGAAGTGGCACTAGTAGTACTTCCCTTGGTAGTGGACCAATATACCTTACCCCGTTACTCCTCGTCGACTAGTGAGTCCGACAACCACTTCATATCCATTTCCTTTAGCCTGGCCACAAGCTCATCATTAGGAACGTTCGACACCCTTAGAACCTCCATTAACCATTTGAACATCCACAGAACCTGCACCCTTCGAATGCAAAAGAAAGGTTGAGGTGAATCCCAAAGGACCATCGAGATAAGAGCAAAGAACTCCCTCACCTAGCCTAAGAGGGCGGACTGGGGAGCCTCAACCAAGGGACCACAACCAAACTACTGGATTTGTTGGTAAAAAGTTGGCGCCTTCTCCTCGACACCTCACATACGAAAGGACCTCACGTAACAAAATCCCATAGTATGGTATTTCATGAATCGTTCCCGACTAACTTTGTCAGGAAATCTTATGTAAAGATAAGGTTGTTCCTGATTGGAAACCATTTGAGTTATGAATTTGCAAATGCACGACTATCAAGTTAGAAATCATAAAATATCCTAACAAAAGATTTGTCCAGAAAGAGAGACTATCGATAATTTTTCCGCTATAGTTTCCTCTGCTATAGCGGAAAGCAAAGCCTTTATACCGACCTTCATCGTCTTCAACCTGCAAGGGATGCGTCAATCACACCCCTAGGCCCAAAAATCCAGCTTGAAATGATTTTACTACATATCAGTATTTTTAAATGTTGAAATATACGCGTCCACCAGTGATCACAGGACCAGTACCCCCGACAGAATAAAAGTGCAGAAAATAAATAGCACAACGTAAAACAAGCACAAAAGTTTTACATGGAAACCTCCTTTCTCAAGGGAGTAAAACCATGACTTGTCACACAGGATTTTCAACTGTTTTCACTAATCTTCTCAAGCAAAAGTGAAACATTTCTTACCAAGCCTAAGCAATACGCCTATTAATCTTAACACTAAGTAATACGCCTATTACTTAATCTTTACACTAAGTACTACGCCTATTACTTATCGAGCCTAAGCACTGCATCCATCTCCCACTATACTAATCCTCATTGATTAATATAGACTTTTACCGTAAGACACAAAGTTAACTCTAACAATGTTCTTACCCTCACTAGTCACTACACACAAGAGTTTGAAACATTTCTTACAAGAATGAAACGAATCCTACAAGCTTAGCTTAATACAAACATTCAAGAACAACAACAGGTACATAAAGAAAATCTTCAGTTGGTCAGGTCCCTTGCTATAAGAGTTCTTGTTGAAGATGGCCTTCTCTTCTTAAGCCTATGCATTTTCAGAAATTCAAAGTTTTTGTTTGCCAAATCTTGAGTTTGTGTTTTTATAGAATAGACTAAATAAAATGAACACAAACTCCTTAAGACAACCCTATTGGCTGAGAGTTTGCTTCTCTAAAAGGACGTGCACCAACCACATCAGAGGTGGCAGCTTTTCTAACAACTGTCTTGTCATCCTTTTCACATACACATTCTTGCAGGGACCAGGTCCCTTGCAATGTTCTTTGTGAGTTCTTGAGAAGACTTGGTAACTCTCTTCCTCTTTTGAATGAATGAATCTTCTTGTTGTTTGTCATTTTGATTATATCAACCAAAATGAATTATTGTCCATTGGACAAACAACCTCATCCGTTTCTATTGGTGAAGTACGCTGACGACTTCACCAACCCACCGACAAGACAACTTTACAGTTGTACTCCATTTGAATCTGGACGAGAGCACTCTGCTAGGGACCGGGTCCCTGCATTTGTGAGGATTATCAAAACACCTAGAATGTAACATTTCTTCCCTTTTTTGATGATGACATACAAATATTCCTGACACTGAGTTTATTCATTCATTTCCCCTGTCGTCTGTCTCAATAACAAAGATATGTTTCCTTGTTAGATATCTAAGTTTGTTAAATCATCAAAACTTAACATCAGCTCCAAAATAGATTTCCCCCCTTTTTTGATGATAACAAACATATTTACCTTCTTCCCCCTTTCACCAGTTCCCCCTATCAACATGACTCTTCAGGTAATTGGATTGGTCCCTTTATTTTCATCATCCCCGAAGTTTGTCAAATCACCAAAACATCAAAATAGCATTTTCTCCTTTTATGATGATGACAAACTTGTTCAACTTCTTCCCCTGTCGGCATGACCATGTCCTCTTCAAGTAACTATCATTTATTCCCCCTATCGGCATGACCATGTCTTCTTCAAATAGCTAGCATTATTGATCTCATACCTTAAGAATTTTCCACCTCTTGACATCATAAAAAAGGGTTAAAGCAGTAAACCAAGTTGACAGAAATGCAGTTCAAGAAAATTCATGGCCACTTGGGCAACACTGAGCATGAGTAAAAATGCATAAAGTAATGAGACAAGTCAGTAGAAATAAGACATTTTTTATTTCAAAAATAAAAGATCAGCAATCAAAGCATTGCACATATAATTACGAATGAGAACCAAGACAATTCCCACTAAGTTTTGATAGAAAATGAGGAGGACTGACACGGGAGTTTATAGAATATAATTAGTAGAGCATATCCCTTACCTCTGGTGAAGTTCACATTCTTTGCTGCCCAGGTTTCATGTTGAACTTTCAGGGCTGTCGGTTTTTTTTATAACCTGGTCTCTCTGATTGTGCTGTTTTAGACGCTGAGCCTTCAGGAAAACCATTTCAGTATCCCTGTTAGCAAGAGCAACTGTCATAGCTTCCAACGCTAGCCTGAGTTTCTCATGACAGAAAGATTAGTATAATCGAACTTACTCAAGGCCTCCAAGATGAATAGATCAATAACTGAGGAACCATTTCATAATTTTTTCAGTTTTTTTATTTTTTTATTTCAAGGTCAGACACCCTCCTATTCAGAAAACTTTGAGTTTTCAGAATATCAACCTCTTCCCTTTTGAACATCATCTTTTCCTCCTTCTTCTTCTTGCTTGTTCGACCTAGTTCTCTCTTCACACTAAAAAACATCTTCATCAGAAAATTCTTCAGTAAGAACAAAGGGTTTAACCATTTGAAGTGTTTTTTTTAGAGAGGAGTAAAGAGGGTTTTAAAAATTTCTGATTTTGGAAGGGGATTTGAAAAGAAATATGGAGTATAAAGGAAGTGAAAGGGTGTATTATGTGAAAGAAAGTGTCATTTTTGGTATTCAAAAGATGGGACCAGGTCCTTGTTCTTGACAAGCTAGTCCTTGCTTAGAGCTTTGGTGAAGATGTCAGCCACTTGATCTTCAATTGTGCAAGGCTTCATGATGACATTACCCCTTTTTAACACTGTCTTGACTTCAAGTATATCAAGCCTCTTGTGCAGCTCCTTGATGAACTTTTCTTGACAAACAAGGGTACCTTAAGAGACTTTCTTGATATGTAGTTCTATGAAGAATTTAATTCTTCCATCATGCTCACTTCAAAACTCAATATTCATGAGTGCAACAGACTCTTCACACAACACCTCAAATGTTGCTTCAAAGATGATATCATCAATATATACTTGAATAATAAGCAACCCCCTTCCTTTTGATTTTAAAAAGAGGATTTTGTCAATTTTACCTCTTTTGAAACCAACGTTGAAGAGGAACTTGGAAAATCTGTCAGCTGGTCGGAGAGTCGAGTGTCATACTTTGCTTCTTTCAAACTGAGCTTGATCAACTTCTTCATTTTCACCTTCAAAATTCACATTATCAGTTTGAACTGCATCATTTTTGTTCAGTATTGTCTATCGGACCGGGTCCCTCATCAAGTTCATCATTTACATCAGCTTCCTTGGGATTGTTGGATTCATGAAGAGGATATTCTTCAGCAAGCTCATTGTTTAGACCATCTCTCTGAATCTGAAGCATCTCTTCCATCTCAGAATCTTCTTTGTTTTGCAAATTACTTCACTATTCTTCCAGACTAATAAAAAATCACATGAACATTTTTTCAATGCACACATTTTTATACACCGGATAAGCCTTGCTGGTGGAAGAATATCCCACAAATACTCTTTTAACATCATTGAGATTACATTTCTCAATATCATCATTTTGGTCACAAAATATGTACTATTCACTATTTCAGCCAAAAGTTCTTAGGAAGATTAACAACCTGCTTATTCCACTTGAAGGATGGTGTAATCTGCTTCTCTTTAACACAAGCATCACAAACTTTGTCATCAGCAAATTTTATTTTGGGCAGACCACGGACCACGTCCCTTTACACAAGTTTGTGCAGTAGAGAAGCACTCACATGAGCACGTATTTCATGTCATACCTCAACATTCTCACTTTGAGCACTAAGACAAGTGAGACTTTCTCTACGAGCAGTATTCAGATCAGCAATATAGATGTTCTTGCATCTCTTTTCTGTCAAGATTATCACCCGAGAGAGCATGTTTGTGACAACACATTTTTTGATAAGAACTTAACTTCTTTTCATTCATCACAAATCTATGAAACACTTAAAAGATTGTACTTCAACCATTAACATAGTACACATCCTCTATGGTGTGTTCCATAGACTTCCCAGACATGCCTACACCAAGAATATACCTTTTCTTGCCATCGCCAAATGAGACACCTCCACCTTGAAGTGCCTTGAGAGAGAGAAAGTTTTCAATTTCCCAGTCACGTACTTTGAGCATCAACTATTCATGAACCAACACTGACTGCTGCTACTTCCTCTCACTTGAATACCATATCACTTGTTAGCCTTGGGAACCTATTTGAGATGGAGTTCCCAACAAGAAGATAAATGAGTGATAAGAGAATTCTTTGTCCAGTAAGGCAGACTGATTTTCTTCAACTTAGGACCAGAAGCAAGACCAGGTCCCTTCTTCTATTTGTTCCTCTGTTTGGAATAGTTAGAGGAACTTCTTTAATATTTTTTCAAAACATGACAATCTTTCTTAAGATGTCCATCTCGACCACAATGCACACATAACAAATTATCAGCATCAGTAACCATTTTGCTGTTAGGATTGTATGGGGGATCTATCTTATCACAACGCAACCCTCTTCTACTGTTGTTGCCTTGACCAATTAGATTTGTAAGAATCCTAGATGAATTAGTCAATTTGAGGGATTTGTTCAGTTCCTTTTTTATACGGACCAGGTCCCTCTCCAGCACAAGATTTCTTTCTAGAGCCAATTTCATCTTCATTTCAGAAGTGTGCAACTTACTTTCAAGATCCAGCTGCAAGCTGCTGGCCTCATTCTTTCCCTTAAAAACTGTAGTAGTCACCCACCCCTTTTATCTTTTCCTTCAGTTCTAGATTTTCAGCTTCTAGAACAACCAGTTGATTTTCAATATCAGATATTTGGGCAACTAAAGCAATTTTTCCATCTTGAGAGATATCTAGGGTATTGTTCATGAGATCATTCTCCGTTGTTAGCTAACTTATCAAATCAGGTAGTACAACAACTACCTTTCTCAATTTACTAGTAGAAAAGGTATTCAAGTTTTGCTTGAAATATTATAGTTCTACCTTTTCATCAGCATCTTTCTCATTAGAGTTTGCCATGAAAGCATCATCAGAGTGTTCTGAATCATCTGAATCACTTGAAGAATTTTCCCATGAAGTTAGATCCTTCTTCACCGCCCGATAAACATCTTCTCTTCTGCTTGACTTGTCACAGACCTGGTCCCCTCTTTGTCTTTACCTTCTCCAGTCTTGACATATTCCTTGGGGTCAGCTTTATGCATAGGATAGTCTCTAATGGAGTGACTTGGTTGATCACACTTGTAACACATGTCACTAGAGCTTGTAGCACTATCATGATTTTCTTTCTTCATGAAACCCCACTTTCTCTCACGAATTTTTGAAATCTTTGAGTGAAATAACCTATGTTCTCATCTATTTCAGGGGTTTCACTTTGTGACACCTTGGAAGCAAGTGATTCATCCCTTTTTGCATCTCTCTTCTGATCAACATCATCAATCAAATCTGTCCTCTTGTCTTCGCCCTTGAGAATGCGACCCTCCTTTTTTCTGTGCATCTCATGAACTTGAAGATGCTCAAATAGTGCATACATTGTCACTACTTCAGGTTCCCTTGTCTCATCACCAGTCACAAAATCATTTGTCCAAGATCTGGGAAGAATTTCCAGTATCTTAGAGACTTTCTTACTCACAGGGACTGGTCTTTCAAGGAACATAAGCTCATCTGTAATGGTGGAGAATCTGGTACGTATTTCATGAATGGATTCACCTTCTTTTATGGTGAAACTTTCAAACTGAGTAGTGAAGAGATCTAGCTTAGATTTTCTTGTCTCCTCAGTACCCTCATACGTTGTTCTCAACATATCCCAGATTCCCTTGGCTGATTCACAAGATGAGATCAGATCGTATTCATTTACTCCAATGCCACACATTAGCAGTTTCCTGGCTTTGTGATTTTTCTGGACTAATTTTCTGTCAGAGTCATTATATTATTGTCGAGTTTTGGGAATGACTCTTGTGACCTCTCCATCTTTAACCTCCATAGTTGGCACATAAGGACCTTTACATATGACACTACATACCTCAATGTCCTCTGCCATGAGATAGTCACTCATTCGAATCCTCCACCATCTATAGAACTGACCATAAAAAAAAGGTGGCCTTATAAGGGACTGACTTCTTTGCAGGTTCAGTGGTGTCGTCATTCCTTACAGGAACCTCTCTATTGGTGTTAGCCAGATAGAGAGCCCAAGCTCTGATATTAATTGTTGGAATATACGCGTCCACCAGTGATCACAGGACCAGGTCCTCTGACAGAATAAAAGTACAGAAAATGAATAGAACACCGTAAAACAGGCACAAGAGTTTTACGTGGAAACCTCTTTGCTCAAGGGAGTAAAACCACGACCTGCCACACAAAATTTTCAATTGTTTTCACTAATCTTCTCAAGCAAAAAGTGAAACACAGATTACAACCAACAATGAGATTAAACTCTTAATATCAACACTAAGTAATACGCCTATTACTTACTTAGCCTAAGCAATGCATCCATTGCCCACTATACTAACCCTCATTGATTAATATAGACTTTTATCGTAAGACACAAAGTTAACACTAACAATGTTGTTACCCTCACTACACACAAGAGTTTGAAACGTTACTTACAAAAATGAAACGAATCCTACAAGTTTAGCTCAATACTAACATTCAAGAACAACAACAGGTACATAAGAAAATCTTCAGTTGGTCAGGTCCCTTGCTATAAGAGTCTTGTTGAAGATGGCCTTCTCTTCTTAAGCATATGAATTTTCAGAAATTCAAAGTTTTTGTTTGCCAAATCTTGAGTTTGTGTTTTTATAGAATAGACTAAATAAAATGAACACAAACTCCTTAAGACAACCCTATTGGCTGAGAGTTTGCTTCTCTAAAAGGACGTGCACCAACCACATCAGAGGTGGCAGCTTTACTAACAACTGTCTTGTCATCCTTTTCACATACACATTCTTGCAGGGACCATTTATATTGGTGAAGTACGCTGGTGACTTCACCAATACACTGACAAGATAACTTTACAGTTGTACGCCATTATAAATCTGGATGAGAGAACTCTGACAGGGACTGAGTCCATACTATTTTGAGCCACTGAAACAGACAGCCCTGTCCGCTGTTCCTATTGGTGCAGTACACTGCACTTTTCACCTACCACCTGACATGACACCTTTACAGTTGTACCCTATTTGAATTTGGACGAGAGCACTCTACTAGAGATTGGGTCCCTACATTTGTGAAGATCATCAAAACACCTAGAATATAACATTAAAGCACGTACCAACTATAAAATATGAAAGAATCCAGACATTCCAGCTCCTAAATTATGCCCAAATCTAAGTTTCTACCCAACAATAATCTTTCAATTCCCCTCTCTATCTCAGAACCATTTTCGGTCCTTTTCTACAAAATCCTTATACTCAGAATGTCGTAGCAGTGTTGTAAATGCGAAGGAAGCCCATGCTCTAACAATTTCAACAAACAAGAGCAAAATTTCAAATTCCAATATTTGACCCAAAAACTCTAATCTACTATATCAAATTTTACCATGCAATAATCAGTATGCACCTTGTACGTAATGAAGGCATAAAAGTAGAGAGCGTGTTACCTTGATTTCAACGTTTGGGGCAAATTGATTAGAGCATGATGACCTTTATATGTTACACGCGTTATTGATTTATTTTCTTTTCAGTAGAGTTATATTCCTTTTCATAGTGCTTATTTCTTTGAGATAGCTTTGATGACCTTTATATGTTACACGCGTTATTGCAAACTGACTACACAAACACAGAAAAGATTGGCATTCTTAAGTGTGGGCACGAGTACCATAAGGAATGCGTAAAGAAGTGGCTGGCTGTGAAGAATAGTTTTGCTATGTGCAAATTTGCAACATTGTCTACAGAGAAAAAGGACAAGGAGATTTTTAATATATGAGGCGATCGATGTTGCCATATTGGGTCAGTGAATAACAAAAAATAGGGCATTTATAGACTTGATGGTTATAAAAATATTTATTAGCCCACAAAGATGGACGCCGCTATAGCGGTCAGAATGCTGCTATAGCAGCCACCCAACAACTATAGTAGCTTGTCGAGGATCAAAAGTAAATATAAGGGAGGGGAATGAGTTTCATTTCCATTTCCCTCTTTGACTTCAAAAACTATGTCTAATCACTTCACTTCAAATGTTGAAATGAAGGTAACAGCCACGGTCTCTACTCTTATGCCTTCACTAATACATACTAATTACTTCATGCTAAAATTCAATAGGGTAGATTAGAGTTTTTGGGGTTAAATATTAGAATTTGAAATTTTCCTCTTGTTTGTTGAAATTATTGGAGCATGGGGCTTCCCTTTCATTTAAAATGCTACTACAACGTTCTGTTCATAAGGATTATCGAGAAAAAGACCGAAAATGGGTCCAAAATAATGGGGGGAGATGAAGGGTTTTTCTTAGGTGGAAAATTGATTCGAGCATGATTGAGGCTCCTCGACCCGCCCTCTCAGACTGAGTGAGGAAATTCTTTGCTCCTCTTCTAACGGTCCTTTGGGATTCCCCTAGACTTTTTTTTGCATTCGGATGGGGGGTGTAAGTTCTGTGGACGTTCAGACAGTGGATGAGTTTCTAAGGATGTCAGACATTCTTAATGATAAGTTAGCGGCCAAGTTGAAGGTAATGGATATAAGGTGGTTGCAGGACTCATTAGTCGACAACGAGTGCTAGGGTAAGGTATATTGGCCCATTAACAAGGGAACTACTAGTGCCTACTTCTCTATAGAGACACATAGGTGGATGATAGTGGTGGGCCAGAGGATTCGCCCATTAGGAAATCTTACTGATGTAACGTATCCCATGCCCTAGTGGTGGAATATTCCTATTAGACGGATCCAGTTGAATGTGAGGGTAAAAAAATTTGAGAATGTAAGGATTTTTACTGAGGCAGCAAGAAGGGCTCACCTTTCATGAGTTAGCGTTTGTTTTTTGTAGATGAGTTGGGGTACCCATAGATGATACATACCAGATAGATGAGATGGACCCCCTATTCAATCCCTATTGGTAAGGAAGCTTCTCACCCTCGATAGGAAAATGAATAAGGCAGATGGAGTTGGGAGCAGTCGTATTGCAATAGGTTCAGGCTAGGAGGGTGATATCGATGATGAGGGAAATTTCCCTCTTTCCCAATCCCAGCACCCACCATCCAATAGCCGTGTGGATGAGGCCTTAGTTTCTTTTTGTAGAGCCTTGCCTCTATCGGTAACACATTCCCACCTGCCATTGCCGAGGAGAACGAGTTGCTTCGCTGACAGTAGAGGAAGAACAAAGTGTGAGACCGCCTAATTGGCTGGATGTGGAAGACCATCAATGTTATCTTCATATGTGTTGCTCCCTAGCATGAGTTTCTCACACTTGAGCCGGAGGAATTTGTGAAGTCTCCTTCCTGAGCTAGGTGTGGATGGGCGAGTGGGACCTATAGGACCTTGCATCCGAGTAGGACACTTCCTACCCTCCCTTTGGTTATGTTTAAAGTAGATTTGGTTTTTTGCCCGTAGGGGCATGAAGACATCTTTACTACTTTAATTTTTTTTGTTAGCACATGAATACTCGTACTATAGTTTAATCACACATATAAATGCGAAGGTTGTTTTTGGATATATTTATTTGTTTTTTGTGGAAATGTATGATAATAAATTAGTGATTTAAGGCATTTCAAGAACTAGGCAAAAATAGGGAAAAACAGAGCTTTAGGTTTTGTCTCGCCTCTACCCTCTATAGCGATTGACACGCCGTTATAGCAAGAAGATTTCCATTATAGGGGGATCGTTAGAGCGGCTCGGTACCGCTATGGCAGCCTCGGCAAACTCAACCCAAAAAAGTTGAAATTATGCAATATTCCCTATTCCCATACAACTCCTCTAACACAACTTTTAATAATAAAATATTTTCCAAGATCATTCCCACACTTGTATGACTTTGGATCATGGCATTGAACATGACCTAGAGATCATACCCAGAATACATAATAGGAACTCACCCCATACGATTACAAAATTTAGGACTAAACTACACCCAATGTATGATCATTTAAACACATAGCAACTTATCATTCAGTTATCACACATAAGTAGGTTACAACTTTTCCTTGCCCACAATCTCACAGAAATTTAAACAACTCAATGCACATAAATTAATTAGGTTTATTATAATCTATTCGCATCAGGGATGACCACTAACTGACCATCCATACATTAAAGTGACCTTAAAACTAAATATCAATCGAACCTACCGGTTCCAATCTTTCATTGATTGTGTCCCTTCAACCATGACCACGTCATCAGTTTACTTCATAGAGATATCCATTGGAATTCGGAGATGCCAATGGGACTCAACCTATACCATAAGTGAAGACTGCACAAAAGGAGTGAGTAAGTGGGACTGTCCAAGAATACCTCATACCTCCCTAAAGATTAAATATGGACGTCAACACACTAATCCTCGGTACACTATGAAACCGATAACCCAGGCTCTCATACCTAATTGTCACGACGTAACCCTCTAGGTCGTGCGGGCATCTACTGTAATAGGTAGATAGGAGAACTCTTACCACCTATTTTAAAAATAGTCAACGCTAAAATACAAAAAGATGAGGAATTTATTTAATACGTTGGAATAAACATGAAACCTCAGAGAATAAAAATCATCTTTCTTATAATTATTTGAAATTTCCTCTAAAGGAACTAGTGTAATCAGGTACAAGAGTGACTAAAAAGATACAATGTATAAAGAAAATACAAAACAATTCTTACCATAGGAAGGAAGAGTAAAAGTTGTTGAAGATCATCATCGTCTCCACCTATGAAACATCACTGAATCCTGCAACCAGACTATGTCTAGTGGCATAGCAAGAGTAGTATCTATACAAACAACACATAGTGGTAGGCATCATCGTCGACCCGAACCCACCACATAATATCATGCAAAATAACCAAAGAAACATGCATCTTGAATATGAAATCACTCCCCCCCCCCAATTCACCCGCGCACTGCCTCGCTCAAGTGTTATTACCTCGAAGCCCAAATACACTAAATCTTCTGCTGCTAACTTCACTCACACAAGATCATAGCCTAATCTCCTATAACATAATAATTCCCCGAGCACCAGACTCCTAATCTTACCACTCCTTACCTTACACACTCTCATTATACAACATGTGAAAGAATAGCCCCAACTTAGCAAACCAATATAAATAATTCCAACCACAACTATAAAATAGCCCGAACTTCCGAAATTCACAATCATCACTTACACAATTCCAACCACCAATATAAAATTGCCCGAACTTCCAAAATTCGCAATCATCACTTACAACATTTAACATGTCCTCTCTGTCAACACAAGAAACCACCCCAACATTTAAGCATATCAACGCGGTTCTTCAGAGACCAACACACACAACTACACATGTATAGGTGGCAACATGACTCCCGATCCAATAGTAATATATATATATATATATATATATGACATTGATTTATTCCATTTTGTAGCCTTCAAATTTCAAGACTTTCCTTAGAGAAGCCTTAACCTAAACCTACACCTTAAAGTGGAAGAAATCTTTTGCCAGAAGATTTCTTAATCCAACATTTTAAAAATATTTAATACTAACGAAAAAGTAATATAATTTTTATGACAACAACTTATTCCATAAAATGG